CCCCCCCCCCCCCCCCCCCCAAGGCCCTTCTCTGTCTCCTCACGGACATGCCGTGTTTCCCTGCTCTCCTACTCTCCGGCTCTGGATTGGGAGCGGGACTGCCCGGTACACTGCCGCCGGCTGCGGCCCAGTTGCTAACAGGCCATGGACTGATACCGGTCCGTGGGCCAGAGGTTGGGAACCACTGTTTTGCAGTACAGATTTACAGGTGGGTTATTATGGGCACATTTTAGGTAGGTCCCTGGATAGCTTGCAGCACTGCAATATTAACAAGAAAATGTCTTTTTTTGAACAATGCTTCTTGTTAGGGCTTATAGGGCTTATTTACCCCGTTGGGTACACAATTGTTATATAATTTGTTTAAAGTAACACTAAACTCAGGAGTTACATTTTAAAAATACATTCGAGTACCTTAACTATTAAATAAAATATATTTTTTGTGTATCACTCGGCTGTAGATCCTCAAATCATCACTTAATTGGTGCTGACACTGTCCTTCCTTCTGGAGGGTGACTACTTTTGTTCCCCATGGTCCCTGTGTGTGTTGTAAAATAGCCACTCCGATGATGGACTACAATCTCATGTTTAGTTTACTAATTTGCATTAAAATTATAGTCCATCGCAGGAGTGAGCTTGGAGCGGTGGCTAATTTACAACACACACAGGGACCATGGGGAACAAAAGTAGCCACCCTCCAGAAGGAAGGACAGCGTCAGCACCAATTCAGAGATGATTTGACGATCTACACCCGAGTGATACACAAATAAGATTGCTAAGGTAATAATATTTAGGGTACTTGAATGTATTTTTAAGATTTAACTCCTGAGTTTAGAGTCACTTTAACTAATAAAGTGTTTACGATAGTCACAGGTGCCTTAATCTCATTTTAATTCTCTTCAGTATGTTTACAACCCCCTTAGACAAAATGAGCTTCACAGCCTAACAATTTGTAGGAGGTGGAAATACCAAAGTGGCAATTTAATAAACTGACCAAAGTTCAGCTTTGAACACTGAACCCTGTTGCACTTTAATATGCAAATCTCAAAATTTGCTAAGACATTCCAGGGCTAGCTAACTCCCTCATGCCTCATCTAAAGCAATCAATGTCCGATAGGGCACTAAAGGTTATGGGAGGTGGTGGATCGGCCCCAACTTTCGTGGAAAAAGTCAAGATTCACATACTTGACCACCTCGGATTAACGGTTTGCCGAGTGCTTTAAAAGGTATTACAAGGTACACTGAGGGCTTGTTCACACCAAGCGCTTTGCAGGAGCAGAGCAGTTACAGACCGGATCAAAACTGCATCCAATGTATTCCAATGGTATTTTGGGCTCTAGTTCACACTGCAGCGTTCAGTTCCAGAGCATGTAAAAAAAATGCAGCAAGCCCTATTTTACATGCTCTGGAATGCTCCAGGACACATGCAAACGCATAAAAACGCAGGCAACCGCCCTGGAACGCACTGAAAGCCCATTTTAAACAAAAAAAAAAGGTTTGTTTGTTTTTTTTCTAACCAAAAACGGCCCTGAACGCATCAAAAAACGCTACAAAAATTGTTAGCTCCTTACCTGCTGATCCCCCGTCCTCCCTTGTCAATGTTCGTACCCCCATGTGCGTCTGGTGAAGGCTTATTATTATTTCTATATATTTACAATGAGTGACACATGTCGTTTATTATAAGTCTTGAGCTTACACCGCTTGTGTTGATGTAAACCACCACTGTGTTTGTATTGTTTATGCTTTGGAAAAATCACAATAAACATTTAATAAGTAAAAAAAAAACGCTACAAAAATGCAGTATAACACACTGCACTGCGTGTGCAGAAACCCATGCAGATCTGGTCTGAATTTGGTGTGAACAAGCCCTAAGACACTTGAAGACACTTATATTTTTTTTGAGGCCACAGTTTGGGAACTGAAAGGAAGTTAGAAATGTATTTACAATTCTTATCATACCGTGTTTCCCCGAAAGTAAGACCTACCCCGAAAATAAGACCTAGCACTATCTTCAGGGATTTCTGTAATATAAGACCTACCCCGAAAATAAGACCTAGTTCGCTGGTAGGTCTTATATTACAGAGATCCGCTAGGTCTTACTTTCGGGGTAGCGGCACATAAACTGTGTAAAAACCGGCCGCAGCTCCCGCCCCGCCCACACGCCAGCCTGCCGCAGCTCCAGCCCCGCCCACACGCCAGCCGGCCACAGCTCCTGCCCCGCCCACACGCCCGCCGGCCGCAGCTCACGCACGCACGATGGAAGCGACATCCGCCGGGACCGGCAACAGCACGCCGCCTTCCGGGACCTCGTCCAGTCCTCCCCCAGCCAGGTAAGACATCCCCCGAAAATAAGACCTAGTGTCTTATTTCGTGCAAAAAAAAAAATAAGACACTGTCTTATTTTCGGGGAAACACGGTATATGACTTGCTTATTTATATTTCAGCTGCCTCTGAAACAATGTAGCATTTTCAATATATTGTGCAACATCCCTCAGTTTGAGGCTGACCTTGCGCCATACACAATGTTTAAGAGAGAATACAATATAGAGCTGCTTCGATGTTATTAATATAGTATCACTGTTGTATGATTGCTATGGTCCCGTTGCTATGGTAATGTGCCAGTGAAAGGTTTCAGCTGCGTTAAATTTTCTAGGCAGCTGAAAAAAAGGAAAGAACAAAAAAAAAAAACATGTAGATGAGTTTTGTTGCACTTACCTTTTCGAGCAGGTAGAAGGCGCTCTCCAGGTCACTACCATAACTCGCTAACAAATGGACATCCTCTTTCCTGATAGCCGGTTCTTTAAGCTGCTCAAGCCAGGACCACATTAAATGACTCAACACAGAGGGATTTCTCTCTGTGCAGATGCGATCCCACGCTGCTTCTCGGGAGTTTAGCTCTTTCTAATGGAATACAAGACAGACAACATGCTATAAAAAAAAGTACTGACTTAATACTCCAGAATCACATGGGAAGTAAAGGAAATATCCAGTCGCTTTAAATATATCTATGGGTAATTTTTTTGGGTTTGGATAGAGGAAATGGGTAATGCCCCAGTCAGGAGTCCACTTAACTCTGTAGCTGCAGGCACTGTGCAGCAATCCATGCTCAAACTTCACAGCAGAAGCATTGAAGTCCTTCACATTGTTTTCTCAGCTCCTCCTGTCCCCCTTTCCCCCTCCTGAGAGCTCGAGCTGTGTTTTTACCTTAGAGATTAAAAGGCGGCTGAATCAGTCCTGGGAGCCGGAGCAGGAGCAGGGCAAGCTAACCTTATAAGAGCAAAACTTGAATAATTTCAGTGCTTCTACTTTGAACTTTAGGGATAGATTGCTCCACAGTGTCTGCAGCTACAGAGGTTAGTAAGGACTGGTTTCAAAGAAATAAAAAAACTGCACAAAAATAGTTTTAGTACTGAACTATGGCACTGCCTCTGACAGCCCGGCACTAGTGCAAATGCCATGTTTATGCCCATTGAACTACGATGACTCACAGCAAAGCAGGAGAAAAAAGTAATGATTGATGCTCAATGGAAGCTGAGATTGTTCTCCTGGTACAGTCCTGCTCTAAAGAAAATGTTCAAATGTATGTTTCCTGAGTCATAAGAACGCCATACAAATGCTAAGTTCTTTCACATAAAAGATTTCAGTCTTTCAAAAACTGTAATATGTCATACGGCCATAAATACGGGGATGCAAGGAGCACTCACTGGTTTTCTTTATTACAATAATCTGCTATTTTATTGTATTAGAGCGACTCTGGCAGGACAATACAGATCATGCAGTGCCCACACATAGATTTCACTGACCCCTCCAGCACAGAAGAACCTCAAAAGTGGGCCCATTGTAACACATTATATAGTCACTAGCAACCTTTTACAGTGACACACATGATTGATTTACTAAAGGCAAAAGGGCTGTTCACCTTGGAAGGGAAATTTTCCTTAGCTTAGAGAATGAGCTGACTTCCATTATCTGATCATGTACAAGTCAAAATAATGTCTTTTTATTTTCTTTGCATGTAATTGGGTATTCTTTGCAAAGTGAATTTTCACCACATTCACTAAGCTAAGGTCAAATTCCCTAGTGACGTGTCTTGTGATTTATAAATAGGCTTGCTAGGCTGTATGGAAAGTCTGGCTGCATATGGGATCCATAAATACACGCGGTGATGAATTTATTTTTGGACACTCGTACTTGTAAAGCACTATAAACCTTTGTTTATATTGTATTATGTTGTAACACGTATTTTTGAATTTCGAAAGATACTCCCTGTGGCTAGATCAAAATTTTCGTCATGATCATTTACAGCAGTGGTCACCAACCTTTTTTGCACCAGGGACTGCCTCTGACTCAGATCTACGCTCAGAAGAGGGGCATAGCCTTTGTCACCTGACACTTCCGGGTGTGCTAGGTGTCTGTATATCCCGCCATGTGCTGTGGTTCTACCCACCAGCCACTTCCTGACTACTGAGTCCCTAATCTGAATGTTTCTCTCTCACCTTGCATTATGAATGAACAAAGAAAAGTGTTTAGAATGCACAAAAATGTGCTTAAATGCACATTAACACATGCAGTAATGCATGGCAAAGCAAGCTTTTAGATGTAGATGTTAAAGGGCACCATTAATCTAAATCTAACCACAGATGCTACAATAATCTGTTTGCAGAATCTGCTTTAGATCTACCAACTATGTAGCTCAAGGGCCTGCCTAATTGTAGACAAATTGATTGGATAATTGTAGGTCCTCATTTTACGTAGTTTTGTTGAATCGAAAGGTGGCCATACACTGTACAATCATCTCAAGACCTTAGTCTTGCGATGGTTGTAAAGTGATTAAAAAAACTTACGATCTGCCCATCTTGGACAGGCAGATCGTACTCTCGATCATCGCAAGCCCGCCCCCCTGAGGGGCGGGCTTCCGATGACCGCAATGCTGAACGGGCAGTGTGCGCGTGCGCACACCAGCCCGTTCGGCATTTGTCTCCCGAGCACCGTTCGGGAGCATTTGTCTCCCGAGCACCTGGTTTTCTAGCGTGCTCCTTAGACAAAAGACGTGCGACCGTACAGTAGAAACAGTCGCACGTCTTCGTTCACACTGCTCCATTCTCGTACGATCGCGGGATTTCCTGCGATTCTCGTCTGAGAATCGAGCAGTGTATGGGCACGTTAAAGGAGATCGTACAGTCAGATAGTAATGATTATGATCAGATTAAAGCAGTCTCAATGACCCCATGACTCTTGAGTACCTGTGAAACTACAAGTCATAGTTTGGCCTGTTAGTCTCTGGCCAGCACGGCATTCTGGTACTTGTAGTTCAACATAATGATATATTAGAACGAGAAATACCACAGTATCCCTCTGTATTGTCATGTAAAGCGATATGTGTAGGCATGGTTTCTATGTGCTGCACTGGTGATGGCCAAAACTTCTGACTGCAGTTTGGAATAAATGGCTCTATAATATTAGGCTGTATTTGTATTTATACACCAACTAACTTTAACCTGCAACTCAACTTAATAAGTAACAATCTGGAGAAATCTCTGTGCGCAAAGGACAAGGCCGAAACGCAATATTGGATGCCTATGGTCTTCTGGCCCTCAGATTGCACTGCATTAAAAGCAGTCATAATTCTGCGATGGACATCACTGCATGGGATCAGGAATACTTCCAAAAATCACTGTCAGTGGACACAGCTCACCGTGCCATCCAAAAATGCAAGTTAAAGCTCTATCATGCAAAGAAGAAGCCATATCTGAACATGATCCAGAAACGCCACCATCTTCTCTGGCCTGAAGTTAATTTAAAATGGTCTGTTACAAAGTGGAAAACTGTTCTGTGGTCAGAAGAATCAAAATTTGACATTCTTTTTGGCAGCCATGGGCACTGTGTCCTCCGGACTAAAGAGGAGAGGGACCTTCCGGCTTGTTATCAGCACTGACTTTAAAAGCCTGCATCTCTGATGGTATGGAGGTGCATTAGTACATATGGAATGGGCAGCTTGCACATCTGGATAGGCACCCTCATTGCTAAGAGATATATCCAGGTTTTAGAGCAGCATATGCTCCCATCCAGATGATGTCTTTTTCAGGAAAGGCCAATGCTAAATCGCATACTGCATCTATGACAATAGCATGGCTTTGTAGTAGAAGAGTCCAGTTGTTTAACTGGCCTACCTGCAGTCCAGACCTTTCACCAATTGACAATATTTGGCGCATCTTGAAACTAAAAATACAACAAAGAAGACCCAGAACTGTTGAGCAGTTAGAATCCAATGGCAAGAATGGGCCAACATTCCTCTCCCAAAACACCACAACTGGTCTCCTCAGTTCCCAGACATTTACAGAGTGTTGTTAAAAGAAGAGGAGATGCTACACTGTGGTAAACAGGGCACTGTCCCTACTTTTGTGTTGCTGCCATCAATTTAAAAATGACTTTATTTTTTTCTTAAAATTGTAATTTTTCTCCGTTTAATCATTTGATCTGTTTTCTATTGTGAATAAAATTTGGGTTTATGAGATTTGCAAATCATTGAATTCTGTTTTTATGTAGATTTTACACAGTGTCCCAACTTTTTTGGAATTGGGGTTGTAGATGATTACTAATGGAAATGTGTGTATGTGTGATTGGTGCTGATTGTTTATGGTATTATTAGGCATGGAAACCCTAGGTTGTCCAGTACCCAGCCAAGAAGTCGTGGATTAGAGATGAGTGACTTCTGGAAATTCACAAAAACGTGTGGGTCTATGGGGTTACATAAGTGGGTTTGGCTGGTATTAATGAGGTGTATGACATATGTTAATCAGCTCCTTTGCATAGATTAGCAAAATGGCATAAATACTGTATATCCTGAAATGTAGAAAAAACTAAAACAGCACTCTTTGCTGTTAAAGTGTCACGTATCTACTTTCAATACATTTTGGTTATATTTTCACCACAGAAGGCAGTGGTTTGGGTGCACGGGGAAGAAAGATCCCTCAAGATGCCTACCAATGTTAAACCCAGCAACTTGCATAGGTAGCAATTTAGCTTTTCCAGCACAACAGGTGCTCTATAAATATCGCAAGCTGCATCTAAACAGTAATAAAGTGCAATTAACATAAGCATGCCTACCTGCCACAAGCTGACTTTTTCATCAACCTCTTCAGCACCATCATAGGTCAAACACGCCAAAGCTTTAGCTACCAGCAAGCGTCTGTCATCAAGGCTTAATTCAGACTCCAGAACAATCTGTGAGACAACTTCTGGTGTCTCACTACATTCAAGATAAAAAGTCACTTTGGATGAAGTGCAGTTAGTGTCCTGAGGTTTGGAGATGCTGTTATCTGGATGTACTTTATTGTCCTCAGCAGCACAATTACAATCAGCAGAGTCCCGAGGAGTCACACTTGGCATTAAAAATTCTTTGGCTCCTAATGCTGATAGGCCGCTGCCTGGTAGTGAGGAATATCCTAATGAAAAAGTATGACTTCGCTGCATCTCTTTAGGGAGCTTCACCCTATGAAAGAGAGGTGAACCATCTCTGGGAGCCTCAATGCTACCGACTTTACTTTGGCTCCAGAAAAAAAAAGCTGCTTTTGCACAAGGTTCTTTGCTTGACCGTGCTGAAGGTATAAGATCTGTGACCTCATTTTCAAAACAGTGCTTTATCCTTATATGCTCGTTGATTTTGCTCAAAAAAGACATCTCTGCCGGCTCTGTCCATGGAGTTTCACCTTGCTCTAGGAGAATTTCAGCCTTCTTCAGGTCCGAGTCACTGTAACTCAAACGCTTCTTCAGATGGGACAATGGCTGAAGACACTCTACGTTCCTCCTCTTCCACAAGGGGTCAAATTCCTGTTCACTGGTTAATACTGAATCATGAACTACATAACAAGCAGGGGTTGTAACAGAATGGGCTAACAAATCCCCGGTTTCAATTTCACTGGCTAAAACTTTATCAAGCTGCACAGTGGAAAACTGAGAAACTGTCTTCTCGATCTCGGCAGAGAGATCTGGAACATCTAGGATCTCCTTTTCCACCACCTGCCTGTTTTCCACTAAGTCTATTAATATTCGACAAACTAAGTGGACAATTTTTGGCACATATTTGAGATGGCGCGCTTCGTATCCGTGAAGTAAGTGCTGCTGGCGGATCAAGTACTGCGATAAAGTGACGGCATGGGCTTTTGGGTCACAGCAAGCGAACACATTGTGCAGAGGGTTCAGGAACTGAGTAAACTCACGGATACACAAGAGTTGGACCCTGGTCTGAATAGCGTTGTGTCTCTTCGCACGGACAAAGAGGATAGCTTGATCTGCAGTCATTCTTGTGGCATAAATTAAATAACATGCAATTAGCACCCCTGCAAAAAAAACAAACCAAGGCACATTAATAACAAGCTTGCCAATCACCAGATATAATTATGAAAGTTAATGATAGTTAACCAAATGACTTGTTTAACTAGAAAAGAAAATCTGACCTATCTCCTATGGAAGAACTTGACAGGACAGTAGATTGTTGAACAGTTTGTTGAAGGACTAGATACGTTTATTCCACCTGATATGTTACAGTGAATATCTGCACAGCAAATAAAGTATATAGGGATTGCATGGCAGCTATGTGGGGCAGCAAGGTGGCACTGTGGCTTCACAGCTCTAGGATCCAACTCCAAGGGCACTATCTTTATGGAGTACGTATGCTCTTTACAAGTTTACACTTGCAGTCACACTGCTGACCCTATTAAATGTGTGTCTAAGTGGGTCTGTAATAGGGATGACAGAAAGTAATCTCTTTTGGGGACAGGCACTTATGTGAACACTTTAGGTACTTTGCAAAGTGCTGCAGTAAAATGCCAGTGCTATATAAATGAGAAAATGAAATAGGATTACACATAACCAGAAATATTTTTTTCCTTACTCAGCACAGCAGTCATTCAAAGAATGTCTAGTACTTTTATCAATGAATACAAGGCCTTCTCCGACTGAATGGATCATGACTGTCCCTCGTCCAACTATAGAATGCCTTGTATTCATTGAAAAAAATCCTAGGCATTCTCTGAATGGCTAATGTTCAGAGCAAGCGACCTCCTGCATTTTCAGAGCACGAAGAGAGGAAGCCACTCAGCTCAGCGCCATACAGGACACGGAAAATCGCTGTCAGCACTGTAGTAGCTCCGGATTCCCATCAGCTGATCAGGTATGACATATAGAAAAGGGAAGGCGGGCAACTGACTGGCACAGGGTGTTAGGATGAGAAATGATGAGGGACAAAAAATGAATCGAGGTATTGGCTCCTTCCCTTTTCCTTTTCTGCTCTACTTCATACAGTTAGTCACCCCGGTCTAACATTATTAGGAGCCGCACACCGGCCACAACACACCACCCTAGGAGTGATCATTCTTCCTTTTCAACTTTCAGGTATGAAATATGCATACTTAGACTGGGTCAAGCTGGACCAATGAAAGCATTCATAATACTATATACCTGGAGTTCAGCTTTAATCAATTCCCCTAACCCTTATGTGTGCAGCCCAGTGGTTCAAATCATTTCCTTCTTTCTTGATCCAGTGGCAGTGGCATAACTGCATTA